GAAGCGCGACCGGAAAGACGCGCGCCAGGCCGAGGGACGGGCGAAAAACGGAACCACCCCCGGGGCCCGTAGCAACCCCCCTGGGGGTGGGAACGGGAAAACCCGCGGGGGGAACGGAGACCCGGCCGCGGGGGGTCCGCCGAACGAACATCAAGGGCGCGGGACGCGCTGGGACGGCGTGGCGGGGACCGATGTTCAGAGGGTCGCGGGGTAAATCGTATAACTTTATATAAGAGATGTACTCAAAATGTCAGAGTAATGTGATGTTCTTAACATTAAAACATTAAAAGAAATGTGGCAATTTAGATGGTTCTGGTCAATTAGGGTGTCTACCAGTCTGGAATATCCGGAAAGTCCGGAAGTAGCACTGATTTTTTGAGAGCGGTCCAGAAGTACTGAAAAAGTACAGAAATTCCGCAGATTATCCGAAATTTTTCGCTTCATAGCACGCGTCTTTCTAAGATAGTCGGGAAAGTATGCAATCTTTGCGAACGATGCCTACTTTTCTAGCTCTGCGTTAAAGTCTCTATAGTGAGCTCAGCATTTTAATCCAAATATCGAAAAAAAAAAAAAAAAAAAAAAAAAAACTTGGGTTAATCAGGGTTGCCACAGTCAGGGAACACCGGGAAAACCGGGGAAAGTCAGAGAATTTTAAAAAGTCAGGGCAAACCTGGAAATATCAGAGGAAAATCGTCAAATCACCTTCATTTGCTTTCTCGAAAGGGGTTTGACGTTTTAAACAACAAATTTTGATTGAAAACTATTACTAACGATGTCTTTTTTGTTCAGTTATCGTCATCTCCCAGACGAAGGAACGTAACTTCATTCCAAGGTTGCTAAATTGACCCAAGCAATTTATTAATTTTACAAAGGTGCCCTCTTACAATTTTTATCCAAAGTTTTTCTGATTTTTGTATGAAGTCTGAGGAAAAATCTATGAAATATTTAGTTAGAAATGCCCAAGATTCTCCTAGTTAATATGCAATTTTTGAGTAAAAATTTGGCAACATTTTATTGGAGTTACGTTTTTTCGTAAGGGAGACGATGTTATCAGGGAATTTTACCACAATGTGTAAAGTAAATTAGGGAAATGTCAGGGAATTTAATTTTCCAAATTCTGTGGCAACCATGATCAATACTGTACACTTAATATTAATTAATACTGTAACTGGCTACATCTGGCTGTATTTGGCCATATCTTGCGTGCATGCGTCATCTTTGCGTCATTCAACAATGACCACTTCGGTTTCTTTTTGCATAGCACTATCCTCACGTCATTTTCCTGTTTTGCCTAGACACGTACGTGAAGACGTACCTGCGCGACAACGACCGGTGGCTGCAGAAGCGGAAGACGCGGGTGGTGCGGCACTCGTGCGAGCCGCAGTACCGGCAGACGCTCAAGTACTCGGCCTGCGACGTCCTCGGGCGGACCCTCCTGGTCATGCTCTGGGAGCGGCAGAAGGGCTTCGAGCACAACCAGGGCCTCGGCGGGGCCGAGGTCTCCCTGGACCAGCTCAAGCTCACCCAGCTCACCCAGGGCTGGTACCCGCTCTTCCCCATCCAGACCCTCGGATCCGACTCCAACGATTCGCCTTGACTCCCGACCGGACTCCGAGCTCTACGCGCCCTCCCCAGACACGTTTCCAACTCCCGCAATATCCCGTTTTCCGGAACTTTTGAGATTTTCACCAGACTTGCTGTATTCCTGGAACTTTTGCACGTACTCGAAACTTTTGTAATTTTCTGGAACTTATTTTACCTGGGACTCATCGTGCTTACCGGAACTTTCCGAAATATTTGCAATATCCCGAAGATTTTGCGTTTTCCAGAGCGCTTGCATCATTCTACAACTTTTTTGATTATTTGACATTTTGCAATATCCTGGTAGTAGAAGGATTTTCTCGAACTTTTGTAACATTTAAAAATTTGTTGATTTTCCGGAAATTTTGCATAATCCTGGAACTAATTTACACTGGTAAAAAACACCTCTTGGTTCAAGAATGCAGTTTCTTGTCGCCGGATTTAAGAGTCTTAAATTCACGTTTGAATTGAATCAATGCAAAATCCGCTTGAAACAAGAGTTCAAGACTCTTAAACAAGAAACTGCACTCAGTTCAGTGCACTGCAGTTTCTTGTCGCCGGATTTAAGAGTCTTAAATTCACGTTTGAATTGAATCAATGCAAAATCCGCTTGAAACAAGAGTTCAAGACTCTTAAACAAGAAACTGCACTCTTAAGTCAACGCAACGCGGCATTGGTCCAAGAGGTTTTTTTTACCAGTATAATTTTTCGAAACTTTACATCACCCTGAAATGCACCTTTTGAAATTTCCGGAACTTTTGCAATTTTTTGGAAAGTTTCCACTATCTCGGCCTCGTTTGCATACAAACCTGGAACTTTTATAAGTTTCTTGAACCTTTGCAACACCTTTTAACTCATGTAATTTTTTGTGACTTTCTAAATTTTTTGGAACCCTTAGAATATCTCAATATTTGTGCGATTTTTCGGAACTTTTGCATTAATTTAGAATTGATGCAATTTTCTGAAACCTTTGCAATATTTCGAAATTTTTGCAACTTACCTGAACTGTCACATCATCAATGTCACTTTTGCAATGATCAAAGACTAACTTCACAACTTTTACATAGTTCCTGGAACTTTTGCAATCCTTAAAATGTCTCGTATCCTACTTCTGCGATTTTTTGGAATATTTGTATTAGTTCAGAACCTTTATACATCCTGAAAATTTTGCGTTTTCTTGGAACTTTATTATAACATTCCGGAATTTTTTATTATCCTGGAATTGTTGCAGTTTTCCCAAACCCTCAAGATTCTCGAGACATTGACCAAATTTCCCAATTTGACCCGGAGTTAAGTCTTCTCTTAGAATTTTTTCCGTAACTTTTAGACGCAAATTTTTCCATAGGTTCGATTTAGTCCGGAAAGTTTTGTCGGGGTTTCTTACAATTTAGGAGGCTCCCTTGATTGTTTGATTAATTTTGACTTCTGAATCGTTTGACCGTCACTGAAATGGGATCACTGTGTCCGCATAATAAATCATATTCATTGTGATGGACAGACAATCAAGTAAGGCATTTATCACCTCAAAATTTAAAGATCCCCTAAGTTTTGTACAATATTCACAAATATTCTCAAATTGCAATGATGTTACCCAAAGTCGACCCATTCGGTAGTTGTTGCGCGTGGAAAGTTGAGCCTCGAATAATCTCTAAAAAAATATAATCAGGTTGTGGATGTCAAAAATGCAAAATGTATTATATTTATGATACATTGAAGATGCAAGAAGGTTCAAGATGAGTCGAAGATGAAATGGACTACATTTTACAATTCGGAAACTAATTGTGCATACGATGTTTCTACACTGAGTTAGATACTGAAGTTCCTTACTGTCCGAATAATGTTTGTATCCCGAATAAATTGAACTTGTTGGAGATGCCACCGTATCGTCGGAAGAGAAGAGTTCTTCTCGCTGTCAGAGGATTATTATGGATTTTAGCGAACAAATTTTATACTTTTATAAACCTATTATAAATATGAAATTTGTACCAAATAATTAAATTAAATTGTATCTGCATTTGTTATCGAAATAAGAGAAAAATCTCAAGTAAGAAAAAAACTCCAAAGGTTCGATGCAAATCCAGTTTTCTGATAATATAAATAAGTAGGCTCATTTTATTATTACTTAATCGTTCATTCGTGTAAATTTTTTCTTCTCTCGATCAAGTTTGCAGTTGCCTACCCAAAATTTATATTAAGAAACGGCAAATAGGTAGTAATAATATTAATCTTTCTTCAACTTCTTTAAGCTATACCTTTGGATCCTTCGACAACTTGTAGTTATTACATAACAGAATCCGCATGACTCTTGAGTTTCCTGCATTTTCTCGCCGGAAAACTAAGTCTATTTTTGTCTCTCTTGCTATCTTTTCTATTTTGTATATATATCTTACCTCCCTTTTCTTTGAGGATATGTACATAATTAAATTTGTTGTGTTAAATTATTAGATAATGCTGATGTTATACCTATCTCCTCTTTCTTCCAATCAAATTAACTGTTCCGAAAGACATGCTCTTACTTTGCCTAAAAATGCTCATTGGTAATTCAGTCACCATTTTTCAGACAAATTTCAAATTCTGAAAGTATCAGCAGCGTTTATGGAGCCTTTAAGAATTACGTAAGATACGAGGGGAAGAGAATATGGCTCCTAATCTTCATCAGCAAAATTGTACAAATTTTTCTGCGAAAAAGAAAAAAAGTTTGTAGAAAACCCGATTGAAATATTCATTTTTTATTAGCGTTACGTAATTTACAAGAGAGATGCGCCACGCACGGAGAAAAAAACTTCGTGCGTGGGACCCGAAGTTTAGGTCATATGGATCTCTGAAGTTTTCGGATTGAGCATCTGAGCACTTTAGGTCCAGCTGCTGAGGTTTGGATCACACATCTGAAACTTCAGTTCTTACATCTGAAGTACTTCGGTTCTCACATCCGAAAACTTCGGTTCTCACATCTGAAGTACTTCAGATGTAAGAACTGAAGTTTCAGATGTGTGATCCGAACCTCGATAGCTGGATCTAAAGTGTTCAGATGCTCAATCCGAAAACTTCAGAGATCCATATGACCTGAACTTCGGGTCCCACGCACGAGGTTTTTTTCTCCGTGCGAGTGGGGTACGTAACGGTGTGATAATCATAAACAGCGCGTCAAATAAAAGTCGAAAAGGGACTTAAAGTCAGTCTGTAGCTTTTGGCATTAAATGCAATCATCTCTTAATTTAATATTATACATTGAGAAACGCCTATTATAATTTACCAAGAAAGAGATATATGTACATCCATAATTATTCAGTTAAATAAAATCAATGTTACGTCTACCTACAACTAGGTAATGTTCCTTGCTCGAGGGAGGGTATCTTAACAGACCCTAACCCCGTAGCATATCAGTTTGAACTCGACAATGGTGGTAACTTTGCCAACTTCACCCGCCAATCACGAGTTATCAGTTGGCACTCGTTATCACTGTGCAGCTCTCGTCACCAAAGAGTATAGTGAAACGTATTATGGTCTCGCCGACATTCTTTTACATATACATCTTACATTTTTTAAAAGGGGCCAAGTAGATTTCTTTGAGAAGCAGGCCCATTTCCCTAATCCCACCCCCTGGCTCCATCGCATGACGTAATTTAAGTACAAATTTAATATAACATCTGTGCGTATGTCGTTCAATTGTCTGAACTCTTAAACCTATACCGAGTTACCGATGACCCCCGTTTGCAGCGTGCGGACTCAACATGAGGTTCTCTTTGTTAAAAATCGAAAGCAACTCGGTAATAGGAGGCAATGCTGTTTATAATGCAACGACTGAGATCATGGCAATGACGTAATGGGTAATTGGGTAATTTATGATTTCCCTCCTTTTTCCCAAACAGAATGTGTCCCTCAGACCGTGCTTTTATATTAGTAGAAAAAGTAAAAGCACTGTAATTTAATTTTTAATTCGACAAATCAAACAGGCTGTGAACGAATAGATATTATTAATAAAATATGTGTATCCATGGGATGGATGGATTTATTGTATACTTACCTCCAATAGTCCTTCTTTAATAAAAGAGAAATAATAAATTTAGGATATCGTCAAAAAACGAAATATGAAGTAGTCTTAAGACAGTCTCATCGAAAATTCAGTAGAATTGTGAAACTTTGTACATGTTAATTATGTAAAGTGGACTACGAAGCCACCAGTGGATCAATGATCCAAACGATGCTTGAATATGTATAACTATTCCTATTTGATGTAATTAACAACCTACTCCTAGAGAAATGCATTCCTAGTTAGATTTTAGGTGGAGGGATAAAAACTTTCACAAGCAACCGTCGAGGGTCTGTTACGGACCTCAACTGAGGCGAGTTTAAGAGTTGATCCTCATGGACAATATTTCTAAAATAAGACTTTGTAAAAACGCACAGTCAAAGTCTGAAATTCATTCTTCACCTCATAATTTTGCACGTTTTTCAGCGTCTTGCTTCAAAAAGTATGTCACAGCAAACAGATTAATAGGAAGTTACGAATCACTTTTTTCTCACAATTTAACGCATGGCCCAAAATGGTCACCGTCGTGTGGCACAGTTTCACAACTAAAAAGATCCAAAAGAAGTACCTTTGCTTATCAACTTTAATTTGAAAAGTAGGAAAGAAAAAATGTTGTATCGAGAGGGTTTGGCTTGTTATGTTGTTTGTCTTCAGTTTCGTAAGCTGAGTAATATAAGTAGCACCACACAACGAAAATAATGAAATTATTTTGCAATTAGTGCAATAAAATTGCATTTTGTTCTGTCGTGAAAGTGCAATAATTTTAGATCATTTGGTGAAGAAATACGGATTTTACACGATCAATAAAATTTGTTGTTGTTGTTTTATACATTTATTAATAGGTGCTTTAACAAGGCTGGGAGCAGATATCACAAAGAAAGAATCAAAAAAAATTGAAAGAAATGACTAAAAAAATAAATTAAATTTGGAGATTCAGTCGTTTGAAAAAATGTGTTCACAAATGTCAATAAGAGGAACCGCTTCAATCAGTGAATAGACAACACTCCGATGCATTATCAATAATTTGTACCTTTTGATTGTTATCTAAGTATTACAACTTGTGCTATTTAGGAAGGAGTGAATTCCGAATCCGTCAACCCATTCATTGTAATTTTTGAACCATTCTCCTCTCGTGACAAGTCTTCGTTTCTGTTTTGGCTGAATTTCACAGCAGACCCATTAAGACATGTGTATTTTTGGCTCAGAGAGCAAAGCTGATCTTCAAAAAAGAATAAACCTTTCATCTCTCTTAGCATTTTCCTGAGTAAGATGTAGGTACCGTTTCTCAGAGTTTTCATTTTGAAAACCTATTTCATGAGTTGCCTGATGAAAAATCATGGAAAGTTTGCCTTTTTCTCCCCTTCTCTCCTTCTAACCTCCTATTGAAATACCTGCGGCAATGGTTTTTTATGTACCTTAAAAAAAAAGCTGGTCGAGTATACCAAACCTCTGTTATTTTCCGAAAGGCGTAAGATATTTTCCGAGAGGTCGCATCGGGTGACTTGTGAAAAAAGATTTGCTATCTTGAACACAATGGAATTAGGAGCGCAATGCAGGAATGGAAACTCACATTTATAATAGACCACCTAATAGAATGAGATATGGATTAGTGCAATATTTTTGAAAAAAGTCATTAAGGCACGTGTTTTTCCTTGTGATTCTGAACCTTTCACACTCAAAAAAGTTCAAAGGCACCCTTAAGTATGTTACCAGTGTTTAATACATTCTCATGTCTCCCCGATAAATACTCAGTATCTCTATTATCCTTTGACAATCAAAGTATCTTCATATTTATACATAAATTTAAATTTTATTTACACGTTCCGAAGTTATTTGTGTTATCTTTGTTCATAGTTTATGTTGAGATATAAATACATATAATAACTTTGAATTTCTACGCGAATTTACTTTTATTTCCTCCCCTACACTTTAGTTGATAACCTATACGTAAGTGGCTGCAGCAGTCCTTGAACAAATTTCGGATCGCATTTTTCTGAGGCACAGCAGTTGCGGTGCGGCGCAGCGCGGCGTTTAAAGCATCCTAGTGCCTGCAAGACTGTAGGAATACTTTACGCATTGTACCAAACAGTGCGGTCGGCGCGACACGCATTCTAGCGCCTGCAAGACTGCATGAATACTTCTCGCATTGCGCTAAACAGTGCGGTCAGCTTGACTCGCGTGTATTAGCGCCTACAAGACTGCATGAATACTTCTCGCATTGCGCCAAACGCAGTACAGTCGGCCAATGGGCGTGAAACACATGCACATTAACGCTTACAAGACAGTAGGAATACTTCACGCACTGCGCGTACGGCGGTGTGGCGTTTCAGGAATAACAAGGGAAACGAACGCGACCTATACTTGGCGTGCATTAGCGCGAAGCAACTGTTTGACCACTTGAACGTGGCGCAGTATCCCTCGAAACTGAAAGGTAACCAGCGTAAAGCAACAACTAACTGGGGCAATTCCTATAACGATTAAAGGCGCTGGATTTTAAAGAATAATAGTAAAAACGAACGCGACATGCGTACCTACACTCAGCGTACAAACGAGCGCAGCAACAAATTTGTCACTTCAGCATGGCACAGAAGATTTAAATGGAGATAGCCTCCATGCACGCTGGGCTTGTCGATTTCCTCTGAAATTTTTGCAGTGGTGAATGCATAGCTGAAGTGCGCTTCAGCCAGAATTGTATTTAGAAATGGGTGGTTTTTTAAGGAGGATTAAAAATAAAGAAGTGGTACGGAATATAACAAAAGAATATGGACTATACAAAACGATAATCAGGGTATAGGAACTTGGCTGATTTGAAAACGCCTTCAAATGCGGCTTGATACCTCACAATTTCCGGAGAGTTCAAATAGTTGTATCATCGCGCCTTAGAAATGCGACGGAAGATTTAAATGGAGATAGCCTCCATGCACGCTGGGCTTGTCGATTTCCGTTAACATTTTTGCAGTCATGAATGCGCTTAAGTGCGCTTCAGCTAGAATTGTATTTAGCAAATAGGTGGTTTTTCTACGAGGATTAAAAATAAACGAGTGGCACGGAATATAACAAAAGAATATGGACTATGCAAAACGATAATCTGGGTATTGGAACTTGGCTGTTTTGAAAACGCCTTCAAATGCGGCGTGATACCTCACGCATTCCGGAGAGCTCAAATAGTTGTATCGTTGCGCCGTATAAATTTGACGGAAGATTTAAATGGAAATAGCCTTCATGGAGGCTCGCCACATCCCTTCTCGAGCCCTGGTACCAGTTTTAAGTTCCGGGCCTCAAGCAAGGAGGGGGAGGGGGTCCGAGGGGCATCTCCCGAGAGATTTTAGAATTTATACGACTAATCGGACGCATTTTGAAGCTTCCTTAAAGAATTTTTCCATCAATATCTGCGGAATAATTATGTTTTTTTTTTTTTTTTTTTTTTTTTTTTTTTTTTTTTTTTTTTTTTTTTTTTTTTTTTTTTTTTTTTTTTTTTTT